GCCCAGAAATGGCCATTTATCACACAGGACTAGTCATTTGACTTACCTACCACAGCTTCCTGGCGTCTGGCTCTAATTTACAACTTGATAGCAGTTGTCACAATGAAGGAACCAGGTTCATTATCTGATTTGTTTCTGCCATCCCTGCACTCACGAGTCCATTAACAACAGGGATATGTGTTTTTTAAATTACTGAATTAGTCATACTTCCATTAAAAGAGGAGACCTACAAAGTGAAATAAAGCAGTCTTGTACGACATTGCCTTCCATTTCTCTGTCTAGTGTGTCACTGATTCCATCAGAGAACGTACCAGGAGCTCTCTTTTCAGTAGGCAGGCCCTCGTCTGCTCTAGCCTCATGCTGAAACCAGAACAAGGCCCACACCAGGCACTCAGTAAACAAGTGTTGTCTTCCTGAATCTCAGGAGATGGATGGAGGGTACTCAGAGCAGGGGCTCTGGGCCAGGCACAGGTATAGTGCCCACCCAAGACTTCATGTTCGGGGCTCTCGTGCCAGTTTTCTGTCTTTGGGCTGTCTTAGACTTAACAACTGGCTAGCTTGAAAGGAGGAAGCCCAGAAAGTTTGATACCACTGACTTGTCTGGACTATGAGTGCTTAAGGCCTAAACTAAAAATACAAGCTGCTTTGCTGGCTTTTCTTTTCCTCTCCTTCCTTCCCCTCCACTCCTTCCTTCCTTTTCTACTTCTCCTTCTTCTTTTTCTATTGGAGGACAGCTATAGATCAGGGAACCGAACCTTTTCTTGAGGAAAATGAACACAAATTCTCTAAATCTTCTCAATTCAAGTCAGCGACAGTGGTAGTGGTGAAACTTGTTCATAAAACATTCAAAAAAAAAAAAAAAAACCCAAATCAAATACGTATTTACGAATCACTGACAGGTCACACTAGATCCACTGAAATTGTCACAGGGAACGTGTGACTCTTTGGGACCTCTAAGGTGTTCAGCAATACTATGTCATGGCTGCCTAACAGCAATTATGTCTGACAATGTTAATTCAATACAGTCTTATTTACTGTTCTAGATCTCCCAAGGTAGGGCTTCCCTGACACTCTGGTCTAGATTAAGTCCCCCAGCTCCATAGATACTTAGCATCTGTGCTTCTATTTTCCTAACACTTTATCACAGTTGATTATAACTCATTGTCCTGCATTAAGTTCCCCTAGGGTAAAAAATGTACTCAATTGAGTAAGAAGCTAGACACATACATTTTTTACCCTAGGGCAATTTTTTTTTTTTTAAACCCTAGTGAATTGAATTAATAGGTTAGGATCATTAGAGTCTTGGGATAGCCTGAAATATTAGGCTGCGATGTCCAGACACAAACATATTCAGGTCTCACTTTTATGGAACGATCGCAATGCTAGTCTTATATTTGCTTAGTAAGCATCCTCCAACACTTTAGTGATAAAAAACAAAAAAATGTTACAGAACAAACAGAATGCCTGCCTTTGCTCTCATCAGCATCTCCCTCCCCATATCCTTTTCTTCTCTCTCCAGTTCTCACAGTCTATAAAGTCTTAGAAGCTACCAGATGTTTGGAAGGGGCTGCCCCCCACCTCCTAGATTTTAAAGTAGACGCAAGACTTATTGCCATTACGTAAATGTAATTTTGGCTTTAACTTTTGCGCTTCTGAGCTGGGTGTAATCTGCCCCCTGGTCCTTTGTCAAACAGAACAGCTCTTATCTGTGGAGTGTTGGTATCAATGCCAAACACTCAAAATAACCACAGGATAGGACCGAAAACAAGTTCTGCCCACAAACGGTTTCCTTTTAGGAAATTTTAATTTACATAAACATTTTCTAGGAAAATGCTTTTGCATTCAGGCAACATTCAAAGGCTAAGCTGGAATCCGCTGAGTATGAACTGACAGCAACACCTGGGGTAGCACCCAAGCTGTGCCTGTCAGTGCCTCAAATTTCATTGTTCTCTTCCTGCATTGCGCCTGGTAGTGAGAGAAGACTGCACCCCACACTTGGGTCTCTGAGGTCCTACCCAGCTCAGGGGAGTGGCCTAGCATGCCCATCCACTTATGTGTCCCAAGTTGTGGCTGGGCTGGACTCCGTCCTGGGGAATCCCACCTGCTTCTAGAAAGCAGCCAACTGTTCTGGCAGAGATGAACTGAGTGAACTGACTTTCATGTTCTCTAAAATGGGTCTAGAAGCATCTTCTTCAAAGTTGTCAGCAACTTTTCAAAAAAAACCCAAAAGCCTTTTATCTAAAGCTCTTTTTCCTACAATAGTTAGTTGATAAAAAATCTTTTGAACACCCACTCTAGGCAGGGGCACAGAATTAAACGTCCTCAAGGAAAACTGTGAAAATGCCTCCCGAGAAGACTCCTGATTGTTTTCTACGACTACAAAGAAATGAAAATTGACAAACTACAGAACTTCAGAAGTGAATGGAATGCCATTAGGGTTTTTAGCTGAACACTTAAGACATTTCACTTTGTCTGTGAATTGCCTTTCTTTTGACAAATCCAACAACAAATGAATTCGAAACAATTAAAACTCATTTGCAATTAATTTGTGTCAGGGTAAAGATTATGAAAATGTGCCACCGGTTCAGTTCTTGCTTTTATTGACTGTTCGTTGCATGGTGCTATTAACCTTTTCGATGAGCACATAATTTAAAAATAGAACACTATAAAAATGTATAAGCTGGGGCATGAATGTAGGGGACAGAAATGGTGCATTCGACTCACAGCAACAGGAGGGAAGGGGATTGATGAAAAGATGGTAGAAGCCCAAGTTGCCAACAGAGAAAGATACATACAGATGCCAACCAGAGAATGGGGTTTCGATATAATTATTGTTGGGTTACTGACTTGCTCCCCGGTCTTCTCTGCTGCATTCGTGAACCCCCTGAAACACTGTCATCTTAGATGCATATGTGTGGAAAACAGAGTTGGCACATTTGACTGATTTATATAATCAACTTGTGAACGAACACTTCACGTCGGGAGAAGTATTAGCAAGAACATATTTTGCTCCAAAAGTCTGTGTTGGTGGTCAATTCTCAGTGCCATAGCAAAACCAGAAGAAAGAAAGAAAGAAAGAAGAAGGATTTTTCTCACTGATATCTAAGACTAATAAAAAACCATGAGGTAGGGTATGAGATATATTAATGGAGGGCTAACCACCAGGTTCCCTTTTCATTAAAGTACAACCAATGCACGGTGGGTTCAAATTTTAGTTTTTAAATCAAATGGCTTTTCAGACATTCAATTCCACATCTAATGGGCAACCAGGAAACCCAGCTGAATGAAAGTATAAAGATTTGTTTTATGTTAAAATAGCCAACCAGCACTGAGGAGAAAAAGCCAAAAGGAAGTCACCATCGCTCTTATAAATTAAAAGCCTATAATCTCATTCTTAATCATGTCCTGCTCTAAGTAACAAAATCCACACACTCACTTTCATCAATAAGGTGCAGGCTAAGCAAAGACAATTTAACTGTGCTATAAATTCAGGTAGTTTCAACAGAAAAGTATGAATAATCTGTATGACTCAAAGTGGGATGCTACAAGGTTTAATCTGTTTTTAAAATATGCAAATATTTTTAGATTTCTTGATGAGAGAGTACTTTTTGATTAGCATTATTTGGTTGGAGTGTCTTTGCCAAAATTAATCTAAATATATATTCTAGAACATCAAGTTATTCTTATATTTTAATTCATACTCCCATCCAAAATCTTAGCAAAGAGTCCTATCATGTTTGAGTTAGAAGGGTACCTTAACGATTAACTTTTTAAAACACTTCCTCATTTTTCAAATAAAGTAACCCAAGATCATGCAAACAGATTTTATACTCCCACTACAGGGAGTAGAGAACAGCATTTCAATTTATTCTCCCTGAAATGATTTCTGGGGTTTTGTTAAGATGAGTTCCATTTGAATCTACCCACTCTCAAATCTTTTTTTAAAACTTCAAAACCATTTTCTTTGGCGTTTCTAAGCGTAACAGCACGTTAGCCGGTGGGTGACACAGACAAAGCCGAAGGCTTGTAACCTAAGCACATCTTCGTACACGGGGCTTAGGTTTCACTCCATTCCAACACGTCTTAGATGTCCCCCACCCCTACCCGAATCTTAGATGTCAGAAGGCGTTAGGCGTGCCTTCTGGTTTCGAGGTTTGCATAAATGATGCCGCAGGACAGATGTCGCGATGAGCGCCGCTCCGCCTGTCACCGCGCAATTGCAAGTCAATGCAATTGAAATACTTTATTTGAAGGCCATTTGACAGAGCGGGGAGAAAACACATTTACTCTTTCAAGGCCTCTGTGTTTTCCAGGGAGAAGCCTGCCTGTAAAATGTGTCCTTTTATCCTTGGATAGCAATTTGGGAAATATCTTTTGACAGAGCGACTCCCTGAGTGATTTCTGCAACCCAAGACGTTGCCTGCATCATCCCCAGCCTCTCTGCTCCTACCTTCCCAAGACGGCAAGGCTCTTCGGAGCCGTTGAGCCGGAAGCATTCTTCTCCACAGAATGGGGAAGGAAATTTGCATATTTTAGCAAAAATATTTGAGCTCGTTTTATCATGGACGTTTAAGGAAGGAGTTGTTTACTAATATCTGTGACTACGATGCGGTAATGCAAATAAGAACCAGTGCTGTGGATTTGTTTTTAATGAGATTTTTTTTTCCTTCCCCTAACTTGTCCCTTTCCACAGGAAAGCTCCCAGAAATTCAACAAAGATACCTTTCCCTTTGCCAGAGAGATCAGCGAATTCAATATGGGACCCTCCTTCACAACATACCATGGTTTCTTCTTCTGCGTCTTATTTTTTGGATTTAGAAAAGGAAGAACAAATGCAAAATCCTGTTAAACATTTGCTAAAAGCTACTTCCTGGTTCTGTATTGAATTCACTTGGTTTCTCTACGTCATCGCGACGTCGGAGTCACGCATCAGGCCCACCACCCCGTCGGAGATCTACGTCGGCGTCATGACGTCACAGCTCCGCGGGAACGCCCCTTACCTATGAACAGATTCCATTCGGTGTCCAGATCAGCCTGATTGGCCAGGCAGCCCTTCATGACGTTGAGGCAGTAGTTCTTGCAAGGTCTCACGGTGGGAAGACCTCGGCAGTACGGGCAGTAGAGCATCTTCATGAGGGCTCGGATGCACCCCGGGGTCGGGCTGACCTGCCGATTGATTGAGAAAAAAAAGAAAATCAGAACTAAGAAGTTCGGGAGGGAGACAAAGAGAAGATAGAACTCATTTTCTCCTTGAAAAAAGCAAAAAAAGGAGAAATGGCTCCGAGAAACGCCAGCAGCTACTAGGATCTTAACCCTTTGTCATACGGATCTCGAAGCCAGGCAGGTCGACGTGGTAATGATCAGTTTTCGTGAGGTGTCCCCATCCACATTTTGATATCTGTGTCATTGCAATACAGCCCTGAAACCTGGACGCTGTTTCATTGCAACAGAACGTGAAATGAGGTAATGCATGTGAAAGCAATTTGTAAAGTTAAAAGCTCCATAAAAATGTAGGTATGATTAAAGTTTAATGTGACACCTTTGGAAAATTTTCCAACTGGTTATTTGACCCTGTTTCTAAAGGAGGCTGGCAGATCTACTTCCTTTGTACCTAACTTTTTAAAAAGGATCAATATCAACTCGTCTGGCATTTCTAAGACCCAGGCCTGCTTAGAAGCAATAGGAACGGCTCAGGCAATGTCTTCAGGCATTTGAAGCTTTGCGGTTCTGGGAACTTTGTGGAAAATGGACCCAGGGTTGAATGTAGGAAGAAATCCTCGCCGTACTTCACAGGAGCTTCAGCCAGCAATGAAGTGGCATTTGCCTTGAATGAGAAAAGCTGAGGGACCTCTAAGTTAATCAATTCTAGGCCAATAAAATCTTTTCTGGACTCATTGAAAATTCTTTTTTTTTTTTTAAGATTTTATTTATTTATTTATTTATTTATTTGACAGACAGAGATCACAAGTAGAGAGACAGGCAGGCAGAGAGAGAGGGGGAAGCAGGCTCCCCACTGAGCAGAGAGCCCGATGCAGGACTCAATCCCAGGACCCTGAGATCATGACCTGAGCCAAAGGCAGAGGCTTAACTCACTGAGCCACCCAAGCAACCCTCATTGAAATTTCTAATTTGACTTCAATTTGACTTCTCATTTGACTTTCCAGAGGAAAGATTATTTAAAGCAGCATGAACCAATGACAGAAGAAGATACAGAAAGCTCTTTTTATGACTAGACACAAAATTATTACCGTATTTATCTGGTCAGTTCCTATAATTTTGGTATCTTAGTTAAGTAACCATCTGTTACTGATCTTGTGTTCCAGATCTGAGAAAAAGCCTAACTTGTATCATTTGGATCTGTTGGAGAGTTACAGTCTTATCAGACAGACCTGGGCCCACAGGTGGCATTTCTATGTCAAGAACACGTGGATACTGACAAAGCATAACGTCAAAGTAAAGGTGAGACAATAAAAGGTAGTTCTGTGTAAGGAGGTACTTGCCACCACTAGAGCCAATCTCTGTCGTTTTATTCTTTACCTAGAAACCTCATGTGAATTTGTTTTTAGCTTTTTAACTTGAGTGTAGTTGACACGCAATTTACATTAGTTTCAAGTGTACAACATAGAGATTCAACATCTCTATACTTTATGCTGTGCTTACCTTAATGTAGCTACCATCTGTCCCCATACAACACTATTATAATACTACTGACTGTATTCCCTAGGCTGTACCTTCCTGTGGCTTATTCATTCCACAACTGGAAGCCTTTTTCTCCCGTTCCCCTTCACCCGCTTTGCCCCTTATCCTCTTCCTTCTGGCAACCATCAGTTTGTTCTCTGATTCTACTTTTTGTTTGCTTATTCCCTTGTTTTGTTTTTTTCAGATTCCACTTATGAGTGAAATCATATGGTATTTGTCTTTCTTCACCTTCGAGGTTTTTTTTTTTTTAAGATTTTATTTATTTATTCTTTTTTTAAAGATTTATTTATTTATTTTATTTCTTTGACAGATCATAAGTAGGCAGAGAGGCAGGCAAAGAGAGAGGGGGAAGCAGGCTCCCTGCTAGCAGAGAGCCTGTTGTAGGGCTCGATCCCAGAACCCTGGGATCATGACCTGAGCCGAAGGCAGAGGCTTAACCCACTGAGCCACCCAGGCACCCCTATTTATTTATTCTTAAGAGAGAGAGAGAGAGAGAGAGAGAGAGAGAGGCAGAGGCAGAGGCAGAGGGAGAAGCAGGCTCCCCAAGGAGCAGGGAGCCTGATGTGGGACTCAGTCCCAGGACTCTGGGATCATGACCTGAGCCAAAGGGAGACACTTAACCATCTGAGCCACCCAGGCACCCCACCTTTGAGGGATTTTTTTGTAACATTCTCTTACTTTTATGATGTATACTGACAAAGCCCTTAAAACACTGTTTCAGAAAATAAAGCTATTTATTTAGGCGCTGAAAATTCTGGTTGTTCTTTTGATTTTTTTTTTTCCATTTTCTTTCCAAAATTGTATAGAAGTTTTCAAACATAAAGAAAAACTGAAAGACTGTTATAATGTACACCTATAACCTCACTTAATATTTTCCTATACTTCTTTTTTCATATATCCTCCCATCCTTATATCTATCTATTAATCTAATCTTACTTTTTATGCATTCAAGAAGTATCCTTTTGAATTTTACTTTTCCTTGTAGTTTAATGCTGGCTTTAATAAAGATAGCATTGACATGATCAACAACAGAAAGTTAGCATATTAAGTACTCCAAATCAAAAAGTACAGTAAAATATAATTAACCTTAATGATATTTAGAGAATGGCTTAGTATCCATTAATTTTACAACTTATCTTCCAATGAGAGAATGAAACAAACAAACAAACCCATGAGAACAAAATTGAAGGGTCTGGTGACTTTTAACTTGAGGACACATTTGTGTCACAATATCATCTTCCCCAGAGGAGCTATTTTGTGAAAACACCAAATTTTATCCACACCTGAACAATATTATCTTAAAACTTTCTTTCATCCCCTTGGATCCCAAGTCATTCACAGAAAATAGAGAAAATAAATCTGTATTCTCCATATAGGATTTAGGTGGAATTTCAGATTCTTGTGCATTTTACTTATTTGATATGGTGGCCATCCTAAAAATTTGTGTCTGTAGGATTTTATTTTCCATAGCCATGTGACATCTGTCCTGACCCTGATGCCTTTCTCCTGGAGTCCAACCCTATTTTCACGCAAGGTGGCTAAGGAATTTCCTCCTTCGACTCTGTTGGATTTTTGGTTTTCTGGCTGTTGGTATTACACAGTGCTTTGCATCTTCTCCCCCAGTATGCCAGTGTAAACTGGGAGCATTTGTCAATACTAGGGATCTCTTAGGTAGTGTGGACTCTGTCATCATTATAACCTGAGCTGCTCTGCAAAACATGCAGGCACTGTGATTATGATTTGGGTGCTCAGTAAGTGCTTTTGAATTGAACTCTCTATTGTGTTTCTCAATTTCTTGGCCACATTGATATTCTAAGAAGAAAAGACAGATAGTTGTATACATCTTAGCATTCAGTTGTTACTTTTTAAGTTTGTTTTCAAAGGTAATCATTGATTGCATTAATTCCAAAGCTTTTTTGTTTTGTTTTGTTTTAAATTGTATTGGACCCAGTAGTTTTCTCAGTCTGACATTTTAGAAGAGTTTCCAACTCAGGGTTGCAACCAACAGAGAAAATTGAACAGCGTTAATAACCCAAAAGAACAATGTTGTTCAAGTTAAATGTGACTCTTTCAGTACCTTTGGAAATGACATCCCTCCCGGTCAAACAAAGGGCATTGGAAGAAGAAGAAAATGGAGTGTGGAGGATCAAAGTTTAAGCTTTCATGTTCACAGGCGCGTATTTGTTGAATTGACATAGCTGCATGTGTGAATTAAAATAAAATAAAAAAATCATCACTTCAAACTGAAGACTTTTAGAAGTAATCCTCTGAAAAGAAGGTTGCTTTCAGTGTCAGTTGTGTGAGGGGTGTTTCTATTTTAAAATATTTTATAGTGTTTTATAATGGTACGCTAGCGATTTAAAAAAAATACCTTTTTATTTTGAAATCAATATAGACACACAAGACGCTGCAAAAACAGCAGAGTCCTGGGTACCCTTCCCTCACCAATGCCACTTGATAGTGACATATCCAACAGCTGTGGTGTGGGGCACCTGGGTGGCTCACTTGATTAAGCATCTGACTCTAGATTTCAGCTCAGGTCTGTGACTTCAGGGTCGTGGGATGGAGACCTGCGTTGGGCTCCACCCTCACCGTGGAGTCTGCTTGAGATTCTTTCTCTCCCTCTCTCTCTGCCCCTCCCCATTCTAAAGCTCTTTCTCTCTAAAATAAATAAATATATCTTTTTAAAAAATAGCCATAGTACAATATCAAAACAAGGAAACGGACCTGGGCATGTTGCCATGAACTAGTCCACAGCCCTTATTCAGTTTTCGTGATTTTTTCAACCAACATTCATTTGTGTGTGTGCATGTGTGTGTACACATCTGTGCAATTTTATTCCATATACAGATTTGTGTCACGATACCACAATCAACCTAAAGAACCTTTCATCACCACAAAAGAACTCCTTGGTGCTACTTCCACACTAGCCCTGGTTCCTGTCACCTGGCAATAATCCATTTTCCATCTCAATTATGTCATTTGAAATGACAATTATGTCATTTCAAAAATGGCATATAAGTGGAATCACATAGTTGTCATCTTTTAAACTTTATTTTTTTTTAAACTGACCATAATGCCTTTGAGGTCCATCCAAATTGTTCCTCATTCCTTTTTATTGCTGAGGAATATTCCTTTGTTTGGATATAACAGTATTTGTTCAACTCTTCATTCACTGAAGGATACCAGGGTTGTTCTGGTAGTTGGCTATTAGAAATAAAATTTCTATGAACATTCATACATAGATGTTAACATGAATGTAAGTTTCCGTTTCTCTGGGATAATGCTCAAGAGTGCAACTGATGGGTCAATTCCTTGCATCTTGGGCTGAGTCCTTCTGTTAACTTCTTTTGAAGCTGTTTGTATACAAGGACATCAATAATCATTGTATAGTTGGCATTATAACTGACCAGTTTTTGTAATCATACAATTTGTAACTAAGTTTTCTTGTAAAATAACAGAAAAAT